AAAGCCAAGCCTCGAATCCCAAGGTCTCCCACGGCAGGTGTGGGGTGAGGCCCTTGAGGACAGGTTAGTGACTACCTGGGGCACAGCCCACAGAGGCACCTGGCAAGGTTCACTGGGCCAGCAAATCATCAGCACTCTCAGGCCTCCCAAAAGGGAGGCCCCGGGGTTCTTTCTCAAGCCAACCTAGCTGTGCGATATCGTGAGGTTGGCGTCATTTCCTGATTGAGGTTTTAAGAGACCATGAGTTAGCAGAGGCCCTTGGTGGATGGAAAGGGAAGCAGATCTTGGGTGCATTAATGGAGGTCTAGTGCAGGGGAGAGGAGAAGCCAGCCTCTGACAAGTTCTTCACTCCATCAGGAACCTCATGGGGGCCTGCAGGGTGGAATCGCCCTGGGACCCCTCCGTTTAGAGAAAGGATAGACAGACCAGGTGAGAAAAAGTTGACAATGCAGACAGCCAACCATATGCAAAGAGTTCTGACAAATAAAAAAGAAAAAAAAAGAATGCAAGGAAAGGAACAGGCATTAATGAAAATAATTGAGGTTCTATTTTGCCCTAACTCTCTGATCCCCGTCATACGAGCCATTATATACATAATTGTGCTACCTCCTCTCAGGCTTTTCCCCTCCCGAGCCCTCAGGTTTGGCTGAGTTGTAACTATTTGTATTTGCAGAGGTGTCTTCCTTTGCTTTGGAGCCCTTGTTTAGAACTTACAGAATGCACTCCCAGTGAACTGATCCTTGGCCATTTAGGTTTGATTTTTTTTTTATTGAATAAATGTTTAATAAACATATAAATAATACATAAATAAGCAGTAGTAAATCTCATAAGTAGTCCATATGGTGAATTTATATAAACCTATATTAAGATTCTTTGCTCAGCCCTAGCCAGTTTGGCTCAGTGGATAGAGCATCGGCCTGTGGACTGAAAGGTACTGGGTTCGATTCCGGCCAAGGGCACATGCCCGGATTGCAGGCTTGATCCCCAGTAGGGGCCGTGCAGAAGGCAGCCAATCAATGATTTTCTCTCATCATTGATGTTTCTATCTCTTCTTCCCTCTCCCTTCCTCTCTTAAATCAATAAAGAAAGATATGTTTTTTTTAAAAAAGATTCTTTGCTCACTCCCTAATTCTCCTTTTCTGACCATCCTTCATCTTGAGTTCTCCATTCTGGTTTCTGTTGGTTTAGACCAGGTTTCTACAATGCTCCAAAGTTGACTTTGGGGCTTTTATTCACAGGGCCGCATAATGTGAAGGCAGGCATCCCTGGCTCCAAAAACGGCACCCACCGCACCCAACCCAGGCCATGATAAACCAAAAATTTCTTCCAGGCTTTTCCCCCGGGTCCCTGAGGGCAAAACTCCTCCAAAGGCTTGGGGAGGAGGGTTTTTTAGGCGCGTCCTTGTCTCCAGCCTTTGGGTCTCAGCACCCCTGTGGCAGAGATGCTGTGTGGCAGGAGATGCTGTGGCATCTCTCGTCTGACTTACTATTTGGTGGCTCGTCTTTCTGCTGTAGCTCCTGAGCTTCCCTGTGCCACGCCGGCACAGCCACGGGTGATCCCGAGTGGGGGGGTGAAAGGATTAAGGAAAGACAGACAAGAGAATGAAAGCTGGGTCTCGGTGGGACGCTGCTCCCTGATGAGGAGACAGTGCCAGCGCCCACAAGCCGTGTCTTTATTTTATAGCAGATGCCACGAGGCAAAGTAGGGGCGTGATCACGTTGTTCACAGCATTCTCGTGAGCTCCAACCTCACTTAACTACATGCACCCGAATTCTATCACAAGGCACGTGAGGCTACGTGTGTGGACCATAGGTTCAAGCTCACAACCACAGCCGTTGGCTATGATTGTGCTGGGAGGGCCCTGCCCTCCAGCTGGGACTTGCACGTGGCAATGAGAGGACCCCGTCCTTTCATTAGTCCGAGGCTTGAACCTGGCCAAACACCGTCACCGCACCCCACACTTCCCCACCCTTGGAGCTCAGGGATCGGCCCCATCTGCCCAGAGGGCTCCTTGGTCATCGCCTGCCTGGACGGGGGCCACTCTTCAGCGCGGGAAGAGGTCCTTGTAGAGATTCAGTTCATTCTTGTGTCACATTCATCAGTTCACAGTCTCATCCCCAGACGGTTTGCCTTTTGGGTCTCCCAAGTCTGCCTGCCAGAAGCTGAACCCCGGGGAACTGGCAGCCGCTCCAGGGATGCCACGGCAACAGGACAGGCTCTGTGCCCCCTGCAGGCAGGCTCTCCAGCTGGTTCCCACCTCAGGGCCTTTGCACCTGTTGTTCCCTCCCCGGGGCACCTTCCCCCAAACCTCAGTCCTGCTGGCTCCTCCACACGCTCACATCCCAGCTTCAGTGTCATCCGGCCCTCAAAATCCAGACCTGCCGCCAGACCCATTTTCTCCCTTGCCTCTTGTTGCCTTGTCTCATTTCTTTTTTTTTTTAATACATTTTTATTGATTTCAGAGAGGAGGAAGAGAGAGAAACATCAATGATGAGAGAAACTTATTGATCGGCTGCCTCCTGCACGCCCCCTACTGGGGATGGAGCCTGCAACCCGGGCATGTGCCCTTGACCGGGAATCGAACCCATGACCCTTCAGTCCGCAGGCGGACGCTCTATCCACTGAGCCAAGCCGGCTAGGGCACCTTGTATCATTTCATCAAGGTTTTTAATTCAGTGTTTGTCCCCCTTAAGAGTATTGGTTCCATAGTGGCAGAGACTTGTAGGTACTTTGTGTCTGTTCACCATGTGTCCCCAGCTCCCAGGAGGCGGAGTACAGACACAATAAATATTGACTTCAATGAATGTTTTAATCCTCACTCGAGGATATTTTTTTTCACTGATTTCTAGAGAGAGTAGAAGGGAGGGGGGAGGAGGGGAGAGAAGAGACAGAGAAAAACATCAATGTGAGAGACACATCGATTGGTTGCCTTCTGCATGTGCCCCTACCGGGGCTGGGGAACCTGCAACCGAAGTACATACTCTTGACCAGGAATCGAACCCGAGACCCTTTGGTCTGCAGTTGGCTGCTCCAGCCACAGAGCAAACCGGCCAGGGCAGTCTACACTTTTAAATCCAAGAGTCACTGCTCTTAAACAATGTCCCAGGCACGATTAGAATCACATTGAGCCGTAATTGGTTCTTTTGTGCATGAATGACTTTCTGCAGCAGTTTTAATGCCGACTGGCTCAGTTTCCCACAGGCACTTTTGTTTACTTACAGTGACTGGTGAGTGCACGCATCTACGACACCTATTTAGTATAAATTTAAAGTTACAGCAATACATATTAAAAACCTTTCTGTGAAATTAAACTTTCATACATACTTTTTTCTTTTTAAATCCTCACCCGAGGATATTTTTTCCATTGGTTTCCAGAGTGAGTGGAAGGGGGGCAGGCAGGAGAGAGAGAGAGAGAGAGGGAAACATCGACATGCATCAGTTGGCTGCCTCCAGCATGAGCCCCTACCCGGGCTGGGGAACCTGCAACTGAGGCACATGCCCTTGACCAGGAATCCAACCTGCAACCCTCAGGTCCACCAGTCACTGCTCTAACCACTGAGCAACCGGCCAGGGCCATGCACACTTAATTTTATTTATTTTATTTTTTTAAATATATTTCTTTATTGATTTCAGTGAGGAAGGAAGAGGGAGAGAGAGATAGAAACATCAATGATGAGAGAGAATCATTGGTCAGCTGCCTCCTGCACGCCCCCTACTAGGGATCGAGCCCGCAACCCAGGTATGTGCCCTTGACCTGAATCGAACCTGGGACCCTTCAGTCCGCAGGCCGACGCTCTATCCATTGAGCCAAAGTGGCTAGGGCACATACTTAATTTTAATTACACAAACATGTCTACATAAGTAAAAACAGGTAAACTAACTAATCTATTAATTTTTTAAATATTTTATTGATTTTTTACAGAGAGGAAGGGAGAGGGATAGAGAGTTAGAAACATCGATGAGAGAGAAACATCCATCAGCTGCCTCCTGCACACTCTGTGCTGGGGATGTGCCCACAGCCAAGGTACATGCCCTTGACTGGAATCAAACCTGGGACCCTTCAGTCCGCAGGCCGACGCTCTATCCACTGAGCCAAACCGGTTAGGGCAAATCTATTAATTTTTTAACATATGCATTTGGAAAACCTACTTTATTATATAACTAGAGGCCCAGCGCACAAAATCGTGCACAGGTAGGGTCCCTAGGCCTAGCTGCGATTCAGGCCATTTAACCCCCCCCCCCCCCCCCCCGCCAGTCCCCAGTCCCGCCACCCACCCCGGTTCCCTGTGGTCCCTCATTCGCCATGCTGCAATCCAAGCCTGCAGGTCGGGGGGGAGGGACCAAGAGGTTGGGCTGTCCCGCCCCACCGCCACCCACCCCGGTTCCCAATTGCCATCCAGCAATCCGAGCCTGTGGGCTGGGGGGGAGGGGGGGCAGGGGGGTAGGGACCGAGAGGTGGTCAATGCACCTCATAGCAACTGGTTGAGCAGTCGTTCTGTTCTGGTAGTTACACCATTATGGTTGCTGGGCTTTTATTGTATAGGATAGACTTTCAGATTTAACAGACACTGCTCGATTGGTCCGTTGTATAGAGGTCTTATAGTCAAGAAGAATGGAATGGTTGTATCAGAATCCCAGAGCTCAGAGCTTCCTAGAGGGGCAGGTGAAAGGGAAGCCATAAGGATCCCAGCAGCTCTCAACTGGTAGAAAGGGAGTTCTCTGCCCCCACCACCCCTCCCGCATCTGGGAGGCTCCCGGGCCATGCCGGGGCAGGGACATGAGGGGGACCAGGTGGGATATGGAGGGGCGGATTCTGGGCAGGCTGAGTGTGGCGGGCTCCCGTTGCATTCCTGTGCCTGGGCTTTCTTTGTAAACATAGAATCCCCGGCAACTGTCAGAGTCAACCTGGGCTGGGGCGCTAGAAGAGATGGGGTGTGGGGGGACTCCATGGGGTGAATGTCAATATTTTACTAACCTGAGCTATTTGTACACTGCAACAGGTGTTGGGGCCCGCAGGCGTCTCCGGCAAAGTGCTTGGCGCATCCCGGGTCGTCAGTGAATGGTATTCTCCCCAGGAGCCGCCCCGGGGTTCCCCTTGGACCAAGCCCAAACCTGGAGACCACGATGAGGTGTTTCCGGTCCTTGCGGACAGAGACGGTCCTGGCCGTGGTCCTCTGCACCTTCTCGCTCCTCTTCCTCCTCCTCAGTCTGCACACAGCACCGGCGCCGGCCCGGTGCCCCCGCGCGCTCCGGGAAGAGCCACCGGGCACCCGGGGGGCTGTGACCTGGCCCCCTCCGCCCTCCCGGCCCCCGCCCGCCCCCTGCCTGGCCAACGCCTCGATGGCCCAGCTGCCGGACTTCGCGGAGCAGCCGCAGCACGTGCGCGACTTCCTGCTGCACAGACACTGCCGCGACTTCCCGCTGCTGCAGGACGCGCCGCTGAGCAAGTGCGCGCAGCCCGTCTTCCTGCTGCTGGTCATCAAGTCCTCGCCCAGCAATTACGAGCGCCGCGAGCTGGTGCGGCGCACGTGGGGCCGCGAGCGGAAGGTGCACGGCGTCCTGTTGCGGCGTCTCTTCCTGGTGGGCACAGCCCCGGAGCCGAAGGAGGCCCGCAAGGTCAACCAGCTGCTGGCGATGGAGGCCAGGGTGCACGGGGACATCCTGCAGTGGGACTTCCACGACTCCTTCTTCAACCTCACGCTCAAGCAGGTAGGCTGGCGCGGCCCCTGTCCTTCCTGCCCAGGTCACCAGCATCTCCTCCGAGGGCTCCGAGGGGACCAGCAGACCCGTCCCCCCACCCTACCCCCTCTACTGTCTACATGGCGCCCGAAGTCCATTTCCTCTCGGGGGTGGGGGTGGGGGGTGGGGCCAGAGGTTACAAGCCTGGCTCTAGGGGCCGGATGACCCAGGCTTAATTAAACTCAGGCTCCGTGTTGCCCTGAATGATGGTTCACCCCTCTGTGCCTCAGTTTCCTCATCAGGGAACGTGGGGTATTAATTGGACTCATCCACCTGAGTGCTGCTGTAAGGATTACATGAGGTGAGATTAGGCACCTGGACCAGTGCCAGGCTCTCAAGTAATATTGGCAGTGGGGTGGGGGGAGGCGGGTACTGGACAGAACGCCTCTTGTTTATTTGGTCTGGTTCTGTCTCCCCAAGAGGTCTAGTCTGTGCAGTGAGTACTCAATAAAGACTTTTGTTTTTTAAATCCTCATCCCAGGACATGCTTCGAGAGAAGTGAGGGAGGGAGAGAGAGGGGGAGAAACATTGATTGGTTGCCTTTCGTATACTCCCCAACCGGGGATAAACCCACAATCCAAGTATGTGCCCTGACCAGGAATTGAACTGGCAGCCTTTGGGTGCCTGCCTGGGACAATGCTCAACCAACTGAGCCACTCTGGCCGGGCAATAAAGACATTTTTGATGGACAAGAACCCATGGCAGGTAGAGAGAATCCGCATGCAGAGCAGGAGTTGGCGGCCCCAAGGATCGAGCAGGCTGGGGGTGGGGTAGAGCAAGCTGGGTGGAGATCCAGTTCAGGTTCCTGCTCCTCGTAGGTACAGACAGGTGTGGGTTCAGATCTCAAGGAGCTACTTCTGAGTTATGTGACCTTGCTCAGGGCACCGTCTCTGGACAGCTTGTTTCCTCATTTGCAAATGGGATTGCAGACCACAGGTACTGCTTGTGGTCGCATTAGGGATTCAAAGCAGGGCAGGCCCTGAGCAATGACTTGGCAAGCAGCAAAGGTTATGATGGAGGAAAAGGAAGCCAAAGTAAGCAGAGCGCCAGAACCCCTCAACATGCCACGATCTTAACCCAAAACACCGAAGGGCATGGTAAACATTAACTTAGACATGAATCTAGCCCCCGTGAGGCATTGAGCCCACAACGGCTGCCCGGAACATGGCCTGGGTAGGAGACACAGCCCCCACCCAGGGGGGACCCAGAGTCTGGCAGGGGAGGTAGATGTTCCATGACAACCACACAAGTAATTATACGACAGCAGCACTCGACCAGGCAGAGTGGGAGGAATAGCAATAAACATAAATGTGACAATTTTCTTGGCGCTTTAACCAACATCATCTCCATGGATCCCCCACAAGCCTGCAGGCAGGTCCTGAGACGAGGCCTGAATGGAAAGTTGGAAACTGAGGCACAGAGAAGAGCAGTTGGTGGTTGAGGTCACCCCACAGGGTGGGGGAGGGGGGGGCCTTGAACCCAGGCTGGGTTGACTGGGGGACACATCCTCCCCTGGTCTCAATGGCCTGGGGAGGCTGACGGTCCCCGCCCCTCAGCCCACACGCCCTGTCCACCCCCCTGCAGGTGCTCTTCCTACAGTGGCAGGAGACTCGGTGCACCAACGCCAGCTTCGTACTCAACGGGGACGATGACGTCTTTGCGCACACGGACAACATGGTCTCCTACCTGCAGGGCCACAACCCTGACCACCACCTCTTCGTGGGGCAACTCATCCAGTACGTGGGCCCCATCCGGGTCTCCTGGAGCAAGTACTACGTGCCCAAGATAGTGACAGAGGAGGAGCACTACCCGCCCTACTGCGGAGGCGGCGGCTTCCTGCTGTCCCGCTTCACGGCGGCGGCCCTGCGCCGGGCGGCCCCCGCCCTAGACCTCTTCCCCATCGATGATGTCTTCCTGGGCATGTGCCTGAAGCACGAGGGCCTGAAGCCCGCCTCGCACAGTGGCATCCGCACCGCCGGCATCTGGGCCCCCTCGGCGCGCCTGTCCACCTTTGACCCCTGCTTCTACCGGGACCTGCTGCTGGTGCACCGCTTCTTGCCGTACGAGATGTGGCTCATGTGGGAGGCGCTGAGCCAGCCCAACCTCACCTGTGGCAAGCGCAGGCAGATCTACTGAGGGGTGTCGGGGCCCTGGCCCCTGGGCTCCTGTCTCCACCCCGCAGGAGGGGGAAACATTTTTTTTCCCAGAAGAGACCTTTGTCCTCCTAGGGCATAGGGAAGTGCCAGGGAGGGTTTGATGAATGAATAGTTTTGTTTGTTTGCTTTTTTTTTTTTTAATACATATAAGCTTTGGAGCTCCAGTGGCGCAATCGGTTAGCGCGCGGTACTTATAATACTTCTAAGCTTTTATTTATTTTAGGGAGAGAGAGAGAAAGGGAGAGGGAGAGAGAGAGAAACATTGATTAGCTGGCTCCTGCGTGCCCCCACTGGGGATTGAGCCCGAAACCCAGCATGTGCCCTGACCAGGAGTCAAACCGGCGACCTCTTGGTGCACGGGGCAGTGCTCAGCTAACTGAGCCACACTGGCCAGGGCTGATTTAGTGAATAGTTTTGTGGCAAATTCCTACACACCCTTCAAAGCTCACCCAGTACTGCTCAGACCAGATTCATCATCCTTCCTAGACTCTCAGCTACTGGCAGGAGCACTTCGGCCAGGGTTCCAGCTGCTGCTGCTGCTGCTGCTTCCAGCCCATTTGAGTCCAAGTCCCACATCCCAGCCCTGGCCGGTCTGGCTCAGAGGATAGAGCGTCAGCCTGTGGACTGAAGGGTCCCAGGTTCGATTCCAGTCAAGGGCACATGCCTGGGTTGCAGGCTGAATTCCAGTAGGGGGTGTGCAGGAGGCAGCCAATCAATGATTCTCTCTCGTCATTGATGTTTCTACCCCTCTCTTCCTCTCCCTTCCTCTAAAAGCAATAAAAAAATATAAAAAAATAAAGTCCCACATCCCAGCCCCAACTTGATCATGGGCTGGCCCCTAAATAGTGGCCACATGCCTGGATTGCAGGTAATCGTGGGTGAGGTCTGGCCATGGTTCACAGCCAATGGGGAATTGCCGAAGTCGCATGCAGCTGAAGGGAGAAGCATTTTTCAGCGAGGGGAAGGGCCTTGGACCCTCAGATGGTAGGAGGGGTCAGAGAGGCCACGAATGGGACCGCCCCCTCCCTGCCTGTGGTATTAACTGCTCTGGTGGTGGAAATAGTGGCCAGAGGAGGGGGCAGCTGTCTGTCTCAGGCTATGAAGACTCGGTCTGGAGTACCCGGCAGGCCCCAGGCCCCACACCTGGGATCCCCAAGAACTCAGGAAACAGTACTGGGACCAGAGGGGTCTTCACTGGGCTCAAGGCCACACAAACACTCACCCCAGTGCCCTGAGAAGGAGGAGGTTCAGATCCTCGAGTGGCCCTGAGTTCTTGGAACCCAGGACTACCCGCCCCCCCCTTCCGAGTGTCTTTCTGATTAGGGAGATCTAAGCGAACTGGTGAACCCTAATCCTGCTGGCCTTGACAGGTGCCTGGGACTCGGGCCTCCCAGGCATTGGGGCGGTGGCGGGGCACCTCAGGCAGCAGAGTACAGATGGGGGAGTGGGTCCTCAGGGAATAAAATGTTTGTTGAAGACCTGGCGTCTTTTTTTTTAAAGTTATTTACAAGTTTTAACTCAGGTCAATCTACATTTATTTATAAAAATCTCATTTCCAATAGAAAAGATACACCTGCAGGAGTCTCATTCATGCTGATCTGACCTTACCTCATCCCTGTTCACACACCCACCATGGCTCCCACTTGCCCTAAGCTTATATACCCCAAGTCTGACTCTCACTACCAGCTTGGTGACAGTCTCGGGAGAGAAAGGCACGGGTTGAGTCTGCTCCTGTCTGCAAGGGACACTGGGCCCACCTCAGGCTCCTGCTTCTGGCCAGGCCCCTGCCCAATCCCACCCAACCTCCTCTCCTCCCGTGAGGACTGTGCCTCTGCTGTCCTCTATCCTGCCTCCTCTCCCTTTAAGTATTTATTGTGCACCTATTGTGTGTTGCACACCTTGCCCGGTACTCTTTCTCCCAGACCCATGGGAAGGGTCAGCAGATACAGACCCACCTTATGGCAAGGAGGTTATATCATAGGATCCCCATCCCAGGATGAAGGGAGGATGCAAGTGAGAAGAATGGTCAGAATTGAATCAATAAATATCCACTGTGACTAACTTAGGTGTGTGTGTGTGTGTGTGTACCGTTAAGTCGGCATTAAATGACATTAAGGCCCTCCCAGGATTTGAATCCTGCACCTGGCCATTCCCGCCTTGTCTGATCTTGGCAAGCAGTCATCTCGCTGGGCCTTAATTTCCCCATTTTTTCTTGTGATGACTCAAGTTGTCAAACTCCTAGAAGTGTTGGTGGGCCTATGGCTGCCAGGGGCCAAGCCCATGTGAGGGCTGACCTAGGCTGGTCCCTTTTTCTTGAGGAAATGCCATAAAGCTGCTTTGAATTCTGCAGGAGTTTTATTTATTATTGGGGAGACAGAAAGATGGGGTTTCACAAGTGCAGAGAGGGTGGTACCTGGGGCTCCTTGGAGGTGAGAATATTTGGCCCTCCGTGTCTGACATCACTGTAAAGTCAAGGATTCTCCAAGCCAGGGTGGTGGGGTACCCCCCCCCTGAGTTGACCCCATAGAATTTGGGTGACCTAGGGTAGGTGGTGAGTACCCTGTCCTGGGATGTAATCAACAATCCCCCAGATATGGGGCTTTATGGTGCTGTATGGCTTCAGGAGGTCACCAAACCAGAACTTCTGGGTCTCTGACTCCCCGAGGCCACGCCCTAGGAGGGCTCAGTGGGGACAGAGGGTCAGTAGGTCTTGCCAGGTGCAGCCACTGAGGCAGCAGTGGCGGGCAGGGTTGGTGGCAGTTGCCCGGCGATGGTGGTGGTGGTGGTGGTGGTGATGGTGAGAGGCCTGGGGCAGGGGCTGTGGGTCGAGTACCAGCATTTGGTCCCCGGCCACCAGGCCATGGAGGAGATGTCGTCCTTCCAGCCATTGCAGCAGCTCACCTGGGGACAGGGTAGAATTCAGCATAGATAGGGGACCCCAGAAGACACCCCCACTCTGTGTGCACGCCCCTGCATGCTCACATCCTGCTAAGTGCCCCCCAAACACTCATCATGCACACAAATAGTGAGCACTTATTAAGTAACTACTGTATACCGGGCACAGATTTCATCAACCATCCAGGTGTGTGCACGCTTGACCCACACTCAAGCCCCTCGCAGTGCACACACACATGTGCCACCCAACACATGGACGCACAGGCGCTTCCCAGAGTAGAAGACAGCAGAGGTGGCATGTGACACACTTATGTGCATGGGTGTGCAGACATGAACACAAGCACACCCTGGATGAGCACACACAAGAAGCATGCCCTCAAACCCCCTCCCACTGCCCCACCTGCCATGTGCACCTCTACACACCTGTCTGCACCCATGTCACACAGACACACGCACGCAGAACACGGGTGTGACACACGTGCGCACAAACCTGTGTTACGCCCTCTGCACCAGGGCCAGGGCTAGGGGAGGAGAGTGAGCGCTGGTAGCGCCAAAACAATCAAAATAAATCCTGTCTTAATGCAGTAATTTTAAAAAATCAAAATTAATACAAAAATGCACGAAGATCACAATCCTGAAGCGGTAGAGGATCTGACTGCACTTGCAAGACTCTGCCGCTAGGCCTGGCGCCGGTTCCCGCCCAGCGGGGAGAGCATCCTCTGCGGCCGGCAGGTGGACCCCGGTCCGCCCCGCGCGCGCACCAGCCCGCCCGCGCCCCGAAGCCCACGAGCGCCCCGTGCCCACTGAGAAAGCCAGGAACACGGCCCCCGCCTGCCCACTTACGGTCTCCGCCGGCCACTGGCCGCCCGGTCTCGGGGGACCAGCGCGGGCCCCCACACACTCGCACCAGCGCGCGGACGAAATGGTGGCCACACAGCTTCTCCGGCCCCTCCGGGGTGGGCGCGCGGCCCAGCGTCACGACCAGGGCCGAACTCAGCAGCACCAGCGCCCAGGGGAGCGGGCGGGGGTCCATGGCGGCGGGAAGCGCCTGAGCCCAGCGGGCACCCGGCTTATAGGCTCCCAACCGGCCCAGCTGGGGCCTTGGAGGCAGGGGGAGGCCTGTGAGAGGGTCAGGGTCAGGGTCAGGGTCAGGGTGAATCCAGCGTGAGCCCTGACGCCCTGACGCTGTGTTCTCTGTTGTAATGCTAGCGCCTGACTTCATGAAGCTTTGATTGTGGAGGCAGCCGCCTCCACGATGGCCATGCTTGCCTGCCCAGCAGCTAGATGAAGCCCAGGCGCCCTTCCCCGCGAGGCTCCTGTCTGAGAGATTGTGGTTGATTCTGGTAACTGGCCATTTGGGCCCCTTGCTTTCTCTCTTTGATGCTTTAAATGACCACTCTTACGTTAGGCCCCAATCCTCAACGCCCAGACCTGACCATGCTCTCCCTCCACCTGCCACTGGGCTGTGTGGCCCCCAGTGTGTTGTGTCATTTCCAGGTTCTAAGTAAATAATAAACCTTTATTTTCTCAGAGTTCCCGGATGGTGACTGATGGCGTCTTGTCCACTGCGCTGGTTATTGATTGGCTGAGAGGGACACGAAACGGCAAGGGTCTCTCTCCCTGGGCAGGGCCTTGGGTGTCCCCACCTCAAGTGGACTGCTGGCTGAGGAGTCTTTATTGTCATTCCTAACTGTTTGAAAGAAGTGAAATAGATAAACTGAGAAATAATTTCATGGGGTGGGGGTGGCGCTCAGCCAGCTGGGACCGGGGATATCTGGAGTCTTGTTAGGAGGGTGCACATAAGGAAACAGGCTCGGAGAGCGGACCCCACACTTGCCCAAGGTCGCAGGAGGCTGGGCCCTGGGATGGGGGTGCTGGCTTGCTCTGCCTCTCTCACATTAGGGTCCCCTTGGGCTGGGCAGGGACCGAAGGGCCCAGACAAGTGTGGCTGCATTTGCTCAGCACCTACTGGGTGGCACCCTGGTGCCCGGGAGGCCGTAGGACCCCGTTTTACCAAGAACGGAAGCTAAGGCAGAGAGAGCCTGAAAAGCAGGTGGCTCTTCCTGGGCTGAGAGATCTCTCTTTTCCTCTCTCCCTCCCTCCCTCCCTCTCTGTCATTCTCCATGTCTTTCCAGCAGTCCTGAGGAGCACACAGGGGACTAGCTGGCCCTCCTGATGTCAAACCCCTCCCCGCAGCCTAGCTCTTCCAACCGGGCCTTCCCCTCTGACCCACGCAGAACAGCCTGTTCCCTCCACCCTCCAAAAGCCTGTAATCAGCTCCCCAGGACAGAGCCGAGGCCAGCAGCTGGGGCTGGGGGAGGGCTTCTGTCCTCCAGGGCCCCAGCCAATGCCCTACCCTGCTGTGTCTCCTCCTGCAGCCTGTCCCAAGGCCCGCCCTGAGCCCTTCAGGAGTCTCTATCCCCCCAGCCCTAACCACACTTCTCCCCTGATAGTCCCTCCTCAAGGTTCCCCATCACCCAAGTCCAGCAACAAACCATCCCTTCCACTGAACTCCTTTACTCGTTCAACAAACACCCCAGAGTCCCCTCTGTGCCCGCCCTACCCAGCCCCCATGGAGCCTCCAGGTCAGAAGAGACAGCTGGACACAGTCGGCACCCCAGCCCTGTGGTCAGAAGGAAGTACCGGCCTTGCGGGGTGTGGCGGGAGCACACCGAGGAAGGCTACAGGGAGGTGATTGATAGCTGGGGTTTGAGAGATGAATGCAAGTTTTCCAGGGAGGCTAATGGGCAGAAAAGCCTTGCAGGCAGGTGAGAAGGTTTGGTGGGGCTTAACCTGCACAAGCCTCCACAAGTTGACTCTGCACAGCTGAGGAGCCAGCATATGGGACTGGGGCCCAGAGAGGGCAAGCAACTTGCCCTCTGTCACACAGCAAATTAGTGGCTCCAACAAACTCTGTACTCTGAGCCTCCTCACTGTCACCATGATGTTCCCTCTGCCAAGAATGCCTTTCCCTCCCTCAGCTGCTGAAAAGCTCCTGTCAGGCTTTTCAGAGTCATCAGTGTGTAACCCGCTGGTCAAGAGAGAGAAAGGCTCCAGTGTACAGGTGGGGGAAAAGCCCTGGGGTACAGTTAGGGTGGACTGGGACCCCAGTGTCTCCTGGCCCTTGACATAGTCCCAGTCACACTTGCTCTCCCAAAAAGTGAGTTTCCAACCAGAGCAGCTGCTCGTGTCCTTGGCTTCCTCCGGTGAGAGCAGGATGGGCGAACAGAAGCCTGAGATCATATATTGAGAGCTACACAAAGTCCTTGCTGGAAACTAGACGGGAAGGCATCCCCTGAGAAGATGGGGAAATGGGAGGAGCTTAAATGTGGCCCCTCCCCTCTGGGAGCAGGGCTCAGCGGCCCCATAGAGCCATCTGTCTAGAATTTTTACAAGTTCCAAAGGCCACGAAGCCGCCGAAGCCGCCGTTGCTCCACAAGCCAGGGATGCCCCCACATGCAATGTCATTAGACTCTAAGCCGGTGGCCTAGAGAGGAGCAGCGTCCTGCCCAAACTCGCGAGGCCAGTCCATTGAGACAAGAACCCAGAGGTGCGGGAGATATAAAAACGACGGTGAGTGAGGGTCTCCCTCCGGACAAGCAGGGAAGGTGCACGCTACCCCCGACTTCCACTCCACAGCGCCTCCAGCTGGGGGCCCAGGGTGCTGAAGGATGGCCGGTCTTGTGGGCTAGGAGCCCAGCACAGCTTCATGAGCTCATGAACCTGGGGGGGGGGGGGGGGGGGGAAGACAACAGGGTCACATGGGAGTGGTAGGAAGGACATGACTCTTGTTCTAAAATATGCTTAGACTCCATCCCTCCCCTGCTCCAAAGCCTCCCATGGCTCCCTACGGGTCTTAGAACAAAACCTCACCCTTCCTCTGCCTCCTTCCCTCCATTACCTCCTTCCTTCTTCCATCAGCCACATCATTACTTAAATGCACCAAGCTCATTCCTACCTCAGGGCCTTTACAGCTGCCATATCCTCCACCTAGAAAGCCCTCTGCCAGCTCTCCCCATGGATGGGCTCCTCCTCTAGGTATCACCTCCTCTAAGAGGTCCTCCCTGACTACCCCTCCCTGATCACCTCCCCTGTTCATCTCCTTCCCACCAGAATGGTTTTCTTTTTAAAAAATATTTGTATCGATTTTTAGATTGAGAGAAAGGGAGAGGGAGAAACATCAATTGGCTGCCTCCTGCATGCTCTCTACTAGGGATCAAGCCTGCAGCCTGGGCATGTGCCCTGACCCCGGAATTGAAGCAGCAACCTTTCTGTGCACAGGATCTTGCCCAACTAACTGAGCCACACAGGCCAGGGAGCCACCAGAATGTTTTTGTTAGTTTCTGCTGGTTCCTGGGAGGACCCTGCTGAGTCCCCAGCATCCGCACACAGTCGTAGCTCCATATTTGTGGCCCAAACCAATTAATTTATGAGTGACCAACTGCATGGCAGAAACTCTCACAAAAGTTGTGATGATAGCCCTGGCTGGTGTTGCTCAATGGTTAAAGTGTTGACCCATGCACCAAAGGGTCGTGGGATCAATTCCTGGTCCAGGGAGTGTACCTGGATTGCAGGTTTGATTCCTGCCCCGCTGGGGTGCAAGCATGGGAGGCAACCAATTGATGTGTCTCTTTCACATTGATGTCTCTCTCTCTCTCTCTCTCTCTCTCTTTCCCCCTCCCTCCCTTCCTTCCACTCTCTCTAAAAATCAATAGAAAAAATTTCCTCTGGTGAGGACTAACAACAACAACAAAGTTGTGATGATAAACATGAGTCCCTACGATTTTATTGAGAGCCCACTGTGTGCTGGGCCTTCCCATCCCGTCAGCCACTGTTATTTCCATTTTGGATTTGGGTAAACTGTGGCTCTGAAAATCTCAGCCTCACACCCCAGCAGGAGCTCTCAACCAAGAGACAGTGTGGTGGAGAGACTCAGAGGGGCCAGCCGGCTTGCCAAGACCCTAGTGTGGGACTGACTCAGTTCTTGCAAACACTCACCTCGCCAGGGCAGGCTGGAGGTGCAGGCAGCCTCTGGCCCTCGGCCAGCAGGTCCAGGAGGCGGCAGAGAGCCGGGACATCTCGCTCACATCCCATCATCCGCAGGAACTCCTGGGGCCAGAGGGAACCCAGGTGATGGAGAGGAAGAGGGGAGCAGGTGACTAGGGGGTAAGCCATCCTGCAGGGAGGAAGGGCTCACTGCTGGTGGGGGCCGGGGAGGGGTCCTCTGTGATGCAGGGCGCTGCCTGAGGGGGGCGGTCAGCCATAGCGAGGGGGTGGGAGAAGGAGGGTGCTAGGGGCTCAGGGCGCTGACTCACAGCGGAGGGGCTGCAGCTCTTGTCGCTGTAGGTGAACAGCTCGTACAGAACAACCCCAAAGCTCCAGACATCTGACTGGCGTGAGAAGATGTTGTCCGAGAGGGACTCCGGGGCGTACCTGGAGGGGACAGGGCGGCCTTGGGGTGCGAGCAGGGGCGGAGGACAGGAGAGGAGCAGCACTGGGCTCGGGCAGCTGTCCAGGGCAGGTGGGCTAAAGGAGGGTCAGACTCCAGCTCCAGGGTCTCAGTTCCCCTGACTATGGGATGGAGCTGAGTCTGTGGCCAGCCAGGGCGGGACCTGGGGGCGGGGGTGGGGTGGGGTGTCAACTGTGGGGCCTGTAGTTGTGGGGACGGGAGGGGCCAGTGCCGAGGGGGAGGGCGCAGCCAGTAC